ATATCAATTTTTTGTTTTGTATGTGTGCATCAAATATTTTTGCTTTCTTCATTTGTGAAATAGAAGATGTAAATGGGGAACCTCAGGCAGGAAATAGGATCACTGTTGCTGTAGGGAGGGAATTGTAATCACTGAGATGAAACAAAGTGCAAGATTTGTTGAATGTAAAGTTGATGATCTTGTCTGTAAACCTTTACTCAATTCTTAATAAAAAGTTGATAAATGGGAAAAAATAATCATGCCAATAGTGTTCTAAAACAAACAACAACAAAACCCCACTGCGCCATCAAGTCATTTCTGATTCCTAGGGACCCTTTTATGACTTATGAGATAGCAAATCTTTATGGGGACAGCCTCACATTTCTCCTGAAAGTGGCTGGTGGATTTGAACCATCGACCTTGTGGTTAGCAGTTGAACGCACAACACCTCACCCATAGCACCACCTGGGACCCTATCTCGTTTGAACACACAGCACTACTATTTAAACGTTCTTGCTTTACATGCATTTGCACTGTCTTGCTTCCCTGAACAACAATTGTGCTTCCTAAGATCTGGGAAAGAGTGAGAGTGAAGGACTTGTGTCCTTTAGAGATGTGATGTTTAACACGTTAATAAATGCTCAGCTGTTAAACAAGAAGGCAGCTGCTGGAACTCATCAGGACTTCTGTGCTCTGCAGAAGAAACATGTTGATGGACTGCTGAAAAGATTTACAATCATGGGAACCCTATGGGGAAGTTATGCTCTGACCTATAAGGTTGCTATGGATCAGAATCGACTCAACAGAAGCATCTTTTGGTTTTTGTTTTAGCGTTTATAGGGTTTTTCCCTTAATAGCACACTCTGGACACAGCATCTTGAAAGATCAACTCCTAGAACAGGGCAGCATGTTTGGTGAAGCAGTTGTTAGTTGCTGCTCAGTTGATTCCAAGCGATGGTGACCTCATGTGTGCAGAGTACAGCTATACCTGTCTTCCTTGGTGCCTCTGGGTGGATTCAAAAGAACAACACTTTCAGTTAGTCACTGAGCGCGTTTGTACCATCCAGGGACTCCATGGTAAAGTAGAGGGCCAATGAAAAGGAGGGACTCCCTCAATGGAATTAATTAACACAACAACCACATGCCCCGTGATCCTGAAGTTGTCATGGGGTCAGGCAGTACTTCCTTCTGTCCTATGCGGGGGCCGTCATAGCCACAGTCAGTTGAGAATTAACTCGAAAGTGTTAGCAAGCTTCATTCTTTGGGTTTTAGGTTTTAACACTTAAAACTCGATGATGTGATTAGCTATGTCTTAGTGAAATACTGCTGGTGATAAAACTAGAATCACTAACAATTTAGGGAGCAATGGTTTAATAGGGTAAGCACTGGACTGCAAGCTACAAAGTCGATGGTCAAGTCTTTCAGTCATACCCCAGGAGAAAAACGAGGTTTTTTGTTCCTGCGGAGATTTACCGCCTCAGAAACCCTACACGGGGTCATTATGAGTGGAAAGTGTCTCCTTGGAACTTAACAATGACAACGTGAGTCAAAGCCAATTTGATGGTAGCTAACTGCAACAACGCTAATACGTAAAACAACCTTCACTAATTCCACCGAGGAAAGACGAGTTGGGTATGTGGAACTCAGATGAAAGAATAAAATCTCCTATTGCAGAAGTAGAACCCTTAAGGATAACAGCTTCCGTGGAAATACATTTATTTATTAAACGTTTTGGTTTACTAAAATGGTTTTATTCTGATTTTTAAAATATCTTGAAATCTTTTAGTTTTAGGTTGATTATCTCCACATTTAGGGTGAGGAAAATTGTATTAGTCAAGCTCCAAAGACTTGCTGCATTTCTAATCAAAGTGTATTTACTTAGGAGCATTTCAAGTAATGGCTAGCATATAATAGCTTCTGCTGGATTTAAATAAAATTCTGATCATCATCGTGTAGCAATTATTGCATAGGAAGAAAATGAGTTATTGAGAGATCTAGCAGACGACAGCGAAATCGATTCTGCTGTGAACAGATCTGCAGAGCACATAGGCAGCTGTGTTGAGGCGTGCACGCTTACGTGTTGAATGGAGATTGCATGTAAATCCCTCGATTTCAACTTTTTAATACTGTTCAAACAATCTACCAAGCAATACTCAATAAATAATTTAAATCTTTTGCAGGATCATTTCTTCCTTGCAGTCTTCAATTATTTATAATTCGGTATTCTCGACACTATCCACCGTGCTGGATAGAAAGTCTAGGTCTAATTCAAAACTTGGTGAGGTTTTTTTATTTTTAATGATCATGCTTTGTTTTGAAAAATATTACTCCAATGGTTCTCTTGAATATCTGTTTACAAAACATCCTAGTTTGAAACTATCCAGAGAGAAGTTTATAAAGGTTTATTTATAAAAGTGTATTATCTCCCTCTCCCTTCCACCCTTTCTTTCCTCTCTCTTTCTCCATCCCTCCTTCCTCCATCCCTTTCTCTCTCTTTCTTCCCAGCACATTCATTTATTTTCATACATTTGTTAATAGGGGGCTTCCGTGATACCGTGGGGCGGCATTTCTTGTTGAACTCAGTATTGTATATTCTGGAGAATTACAAAGGACATAAAAGCACTTAAATCATTGTTTTATTTAACTCAGACATGGGTACATAATTTCAAAAAGTATTCAGGGAGAATACAAGTGGAATCATGTTGCAGACCGTGCAGACCCGGTCAGGAGTTCGAGGCCCTGTGGGCCCAAGTGTTGCAGACCGTACAGGCCGCAGGCTCTGAGGAACAGACTCTAGCCACCTAGCAGTCATAGCAAACTGTTTTTCATCTTAGTGTTCAGTTATGTTTATTATTAAGTGCATACATGAAGCCCTGATATCCACAGATAAATGTAATATTTTCCTAAAAGCCGAAACTGTAAAATTCCAAAAAGGCAAAGTTCTTCCCTCAAAGAATTCAGTCAAAGTAAATTGGGTGGCTCCCCGGTTCTTTGTTCTAAGGACAATAGGACACCCCCTCCCTAAAGTGTTTTCAGGTGCAGCCCTATTCACCCAGGCGTCTCTTTTCTTGGAGAACCTGGACTGGGCAGCCGACACAATGGGAATCCTCCCAATCCTCCTTTTCCTTCCCCCATTTGAGGCTAGGTGCTAAAAGGTATGTTAATTAAGCTTGAGAAACCAAGTTGTAGTCGTGAGATTCGAACCTGTGGAGTACAATGTAAAGCTGCCTGAATGTCTGGAAAATTACGTATGTTAGCTGTACTTTGTCTTAGTCCCGCCCAGCTTTGTGTAAAGTACCTCCCCTAAATAAAACGGAGGCGCAGAACGAATCCAGGTGCATTACGGCTGGCAAGGCATGTGTTACAGCATGCAGTGGTCACAGTCCAGCCTTGCAACCATACTGCCTGTTTAGCCTACTATGCAGGATATTACGGCCTTCATGGCTGAGATGTTTGCAATGCAGGATCTGCCTGATGTCGGTCCCGCATCCACTCTGGTTTCGGGGTGTCTCTTTGTCTCTCTCTTTGTGTCCTTGTGTGTCTTTCTATATCTTTATCGCCTCCAGATATCCCCACCTCGTGAACCAAATTCCTATGTCGAGGCAGGTTCTTGGCAGAACCACACTCTTCACTTTCATATTCTCATTGCTTACTCCATCCTTCAGAGCTTCCACTCCTTTGCTGTGTAGGTAGCAGGTTTCTAAAATGTGGATGCCCTTGTCAGGAGTATCACTATAAATATGGGACAGTCAATAGGGAGTGGGCCATGTTCTATTCCGTTGTACATAAGGCCACTAGGAGTTGGGACCAACTAGACGGTAGGTAACAACAGTGATGTCCGGGAGCCAAGGATGCTGTGGTACCATCCAAGTGATTACATCAGTTGAACATCAACCCCATGGGTGAAGATGTCCAAAGCTTAGTATCTGACACCCTGTGGGTACTCAAGGGGATTTGTTCAATACAGGACTAAGAATGGAGGAAGAGTTGGGACTCACATAGGATAGATAATCATACTAGAAAGCTCATCAGATTCGGACAGATAAGCTTCTTAGAAGAGGAGTAGAAAGATTTGATTTGTTGTTGTTGTGAGGCGCCATTGAGTCAGTTCTGACTCATAGCAACCTTATACACAATGTAGCGAAACACTGCCCGGTACTGCACTGTTCTCACAATCATTGTAAAGCTTGAGGCCATTGCTAGAGACCAATGGACTAGCTTGTGCCAGGTTGTTGCTGTTAAGTACCGTCAAGTCAGATCTGGCTCACAGTGACCCTGCATACAGTTTCTGAGAAGTGGCTGGTAGGTTTCAACCACCAACATTCTGGTTAGCACTCAGGTTCTTATCCTACAGTGCCAAAGCAGATTGTGGTTGTTGTTGTTCAGTGTCGTCGAGTCGGTTCTGACTCATAGCAACCCTGTATAGAGTTTCTGAGGCTGTAAATCTTTACAGAAGCAAATAGCTTCATCTTTTTACCATGGAATGGTTGGTAGAATCCATCTGTATTGTAAGACGCTCGGCTACTTCTAAACCAGCTTGCAAAGACTGAAATCTGATGATAGAATTTTAGTTATCAAAAAATAAATCAATCTAGACTAATTGTCATCAAGTGGATTGTGACTCACAGAACCCCATATTTAAGGTTTCTGGGGCTATAAATCTTTATGGGAAAAGACAGACGCATCTTTCTCCCTCGGAGCAGTTGGTGGGTTTGAACTGCAGACATCGCGGTTAGGAGCCCAATGCCTCATCTACAAAACCACTAGTGCTCCTCAGAATTTTAGGTAGAGTTCTGTTTCTTGGATTCTGACTCTTTAATAAGCTCTATAATACACACTTTCCATTTGATACCATTTTATCCAAGTGTTTGTTCATTTGCAAACACATATTGAGGCTCCCTGTGAAGTGAGTTCTCTGAAAGCCCATGGGTCATAACATTTGGTTAGCTCATTTGCTACCATGCTGAATTGTGTGACACTGATCTTGAGAATTAGCCTTGATGTTAACAACGGTCTCTAACCTGTGACCAGCTCCCGGATCTCCAGGTCCGTAGTCTTGCGGAGAAGCCTCACCAACGCTGGGATACCTCCGCAATTTTTCAGGGCGATTTTATTATCATCATTGGCTTTCCCATACACCAAGTTCCTCAGAGCTCCACAGGCACTACGGTGGACTTCCGTCACCCGATGGTCCAGTAGGTCCACCAGGAGCTGTATGCCTCCTTGTCGCCTTATCTGAAAGAGCAAAGACATCACTTTTGCATTAGAAAAAAAGAACAAACAAATCAGTGTTAGAAGCAATACACCCAGAATGTTCCTTACAAGTAAGGAGGAGGAGCCTTTGCTCACTTACATTGGGCACATCATCAAGAAAGACCAATTACTAGAAAGGATAATGTGCTTGTTAAAGCGGAAGGTGGGGAGTAGAAATGAGAGCAGACCCTCAGTGACTAGACGGACACAACAGCTACAACTCAGAGCTTATCAATGACTGTGAAGATGGGGCACTGTGTGGGTCTGTAATATACAACAACATCATGAGTCTGCATGCACTGGATACTAACAACAATATCGAATCCCGAGTATATTTTTCATATAAAAGATTAGCTACAATTAATTGCACTGAACTGAGTTCAGGATAGAAAGGAAAGAAAACGCAAACGAGTATTCTCTTTAGCTTTTATTGCCTTTACTTGCTTTGATATTGTAGTGGCTACAAGTCAGGCTGCCAACCTCAAGGTCAACAGTTTGAAACGACTAGTCATTCTCTGGGAGAAAGATGAGGCTTTCTGTTCCTGTAAAGATTTACAGCCTTGGAAACCCTATGAAGGGTTGCTATGAGTCGGAACCCATTCCATGGTACACCACCAACTGCCCCACCACCACCACCAAATCCACTACCACCACCACTTGCTTTAATATCCTACCAGTTAAAATTCACAAGTATTTTCTTTCAGCAATTGAATTTTGGCAAGGTGATTTTAACTTTCTGATGGTTGTCTTAGACATTTCTCTTTATCAAAATATGTGACATGTACAGGGCATGTACAAGAGGGAGGAGCAGAAGGAATTCAAATTCTTCTCACAGTTAACGGGTGTCTTAAAGATACACAGGACTGATGTACAAAATGTTAAAATTATGTTTAATACAAAAACATTTCAAAGAGTCTCACAGATAAATGAGAAACCAGAAGAACTGATATAAAGATATTCATCTAAGAAGATTTGGGACAATAAGAAAGTCACTCACAATGTGAGACCTTCGGATCTGATCATGAGGCAGTGGGGTTCTATACCTAGAGGTAGTGAAAACAGGTTCATTGTTTGGGGTGATGGTGGTGGCCACCTGATTTCTTTTTTTGCTGTTGTTGTTAAGTCCATTCGAGTTGGTTCTGACTCAAAGTGATCCTGTACAGACTCACCAGTCACTCCTTGGAAACCTTATATAGGGTAGCTATGAGTCAGAACCAACTAGACAGCAAGTGAGTCTGAACCATCGACCTTGTGGTTCACACTAACTTGTGGTCTAGTCCTTACTCTACAGTACCACACCAAGACTCATAATAAACATATATACACAGACACATAAACACTTCATGACAAAGCAATTATTTAAGAATACCTTAACTAGTGAGTGACAAGCTAGGAATATGATTCGCATTAACACATCAGAGGTGGAAAGTTTCTGTTTTCTTTAGCGAGGAAACAACGGCACAAAGGTTACAGACAATAGGCAGCAAAGCCTGCACTCGGTGATCCAGGCTCAGGACTCTTGAATGCCATGCCCAAGTCTTCCCTTCTGCCTGCATTTACCTACAAAAAGTCTACAGAATGGCTCTGCATGTCTAGACACTGCATGAATGGAATGAGTGTGTATCATGCTGGACCTTTCTCTTCACTTGTTTCCACTGCACATTTTGCTAGTGATATGAGGAGGCTTCAGAAAGTTCATGGAAACGTTCACCCATGTCAATACACGTAGCGCTTGTTGATTCAATTTTCACTGCTGGGTGGTATCCCTTTGTATGAATATAATTGATTGATTGAATATGTGGAACACATTTTGGAACCATTTATTTATCGAGTCTTACATGGTTAGGAGTCCTGGTGTGCCGCTGTGGGTTACTGCGCTGGACCGCAAAGTTGGTTTGAACAAGGTCGGAGGTTCAAACTCACCAGATGCTCCTCAGAAACTCCATATAGGATTGCTATGGGTCGGAACCGACCCAATGGCACTTAACTACAAAAACATATGATTAGGAGTCCTGGTCTGGCATTGTAGGGTAAGCATTGGAATGATAACCAAAAGGTCAGTGGTTGAAACCCACCAGTTACTCCTTGGGAATCCTATTTAGGATCACTATGAGTCAGAACTGACTCAATAGCACTTAGCTACAACATGTGGATAGGTATTTGGAAGAAAATACTGCAGTATTTTGCATATACCAGCACAAATGTTTCTCTAGGGCAGACACTTAGGATGGTGCAGTAAGGTTTTAAACAAATTCCACTACCTGATGCTGCTCAAGAGTCTGAACTAATTAACACCTGCACCAGCAGTGAATATGAGTCTCCTTGTTGATCTCTGTTATTGTTGATTTTTTTTCTTTATTTTCACCCATTTACTGAATGCAAAACGGTATCTCTTTTTGGTTTTAATTTGCATTTTCTTGATTAGTAGTGAGGCTGATCCTTTAAATAAACTCTTCACCAAAGAGGTGCAGAATCTACGAGAATAAATTTAGAGTACTTTCTTTAACTAAGCAGTGTGGTGCTGTAGGATAAAGTACTGGACCACAAGGTCGGTTTGAACCACAAGGTCGGTGCTTCAAACTTAGCAGTCACTACTTGGAAACCCTATACATGGTTGCTATGAGTCAGAACCAACTGCATAACATTTGACAACAACAAAAATATAGGCAAAAACATTAATATCTTGTTCTTGAATGAAGAGCGAATATTGACAAATGCTGTTTATAGTTTCAACTCTATAGTGGTTGACATTCAAAAGACTTCCTTGGGGGCATGTGACAAAATGATGCCAAATTTTATTTGAAATTGTAAGCCACCAATAATAGCTAAGAACATTCTGACTGAACAGAATTTTAGAAAAAAATTTATTTCGTCCCGTACAGTTCGGTTGCTAACCTCAAAGTCAGCAGTTCGAAACTACCAGCTGTTCCACACGAGAAAGATGAGGCTTTCTTCTCCCATAAAGATTTCCAGCCTCGGACACCCTATACAGGGTCGCTGTGAGTCAGAACCAACTCCATGGCACGTAACCACTACCACCACCATAAATATCACAGAAAGCCTCAATAATATACCCTAGTTGATAATTATATAAAAGCAGAGATAGCACAATAGAAGAGAATAGATAACCCAGATAGAGCCTAGTGTATTTAGAAATTAACATGTGATAAAAAAGAATTACAAAACAGTACGAAAGGTTTGAATTACAGGATAAATTCAATTATAAGGGGGCTTCAAAAAGTTAGTGGAAAAATGGAATTAAATAATAATGCAATTTATCCACAACCCTTTTGAAGTCCCCTCAGATATTTCAAGAATTTAAAAGGTAAGTATAGCAAATAAAGACAGTAACACTTAAATAATGATCTCTATCATTTCAAAGATGAATGAGGAGTCTTTGATCACAAACAATAAAATAATCAACTTACATAAAAAAACACAAATAATTGTAATTGTGTGTAGACAAAAGGTGTTGTTTTGATTTTCATGTTATAGCTATATATATTTGAAAAATTGAAATGTAACATTACAACAGCCTTTCACTTTTAATACACAACGCACTGCTGATCATTGTAATGGAAATTTGGGGTTGACTAACAGGTGACAAGGAGCTCTGGTAGCATAGTGGCTATGAATCGGGCTGCGAACTGCAAGGTCAGCAGTTCGAAACTACCAGCTGTTCCACATGTAAAAGATGAGGCATTCGGCTCCAGTAAAGATTTATAGCCTCGGAAACCCTGTACAGGGTCGCTATGAGTCAGAACCAACTCCACGGCACACAACAACAGGTGACAATACATGACAGACAGTACCACCTTCCTTAATAACTTTCAATTTTAAAGGCATTACACAGCCAGACAATTTAAACAAATGACTGTTCTTTTGTTGTTGCAAATAGACAACAAAAACCTTTCTTAAACATTGTATGATGATATTTAAGGCTAAGAATGGCTATAAAAACAACTGAGAAATCTGCTTTATAATTAAAATGGCCAATGGTTATAATAAATAATGAACACTAACATCAAGGGAATATGTTCCACAACAAAGAAGACCTGGTGGTGCCATGTGATAAGCGCTGGATTGCTAACCAAAGGGTTGGTGGTTTGAACCCAGCAACAGCAGCCAGGGAATCTGCTAGCCTCAAGCAACCTCTGGAGCAGGTCAATGCTGCCCTATGGGGTCACTAGGCATCAGAATCAGCTCAAGGACAGTGGGGGATCCACCAAATGGAGTTATGACAGATGTAGAGAAACCTTTTCTATTCATGTATCTTAATGTTAAATGAAACATCAAAATTTCAAAAAAAAAAAAACTTAAACCCTAGAAGAAGAAAGAAGAGGAAAAGAAGAGTAATCTGATACAATTTGATGAACTTGACCTACACCTATGGAAGCAGCAGCTCAAAAGAGGGAACAAATCTTTACAGCGAGGATCATTCCTACCCCCTCAATACACAGTGTAGACAGGGATGGGCAACTTGGACACTGGCTATCCAAAATGGGGTGGGGGGAGGTTCAAAGGCAAGGAGTGACTGCCTTCCAAGCTTCCTAGAGGGAGCCTAGATCCAGAGGGCACGGAGGAAGCTAGAATCTCCAGTGAGTAGTATTCAATCTGGCTGGGCGGGACTGATGAAAGCAGATGCGGATAGGTCTCTTGTGATACACGTGAATAATTGTTATCAGGACTGATTGTGAGGGTTGGAAATGTAAAGGTAGATTCTTTGTAGCAAAAGGAGGGGAGTGACTGACTTTATTGTCTAGGAGCAGAGATCCCTGGGACCTTCAAGGGAGAAGAGTGGAGAGTGGAAACCTACCCAGAGAAGCAGTGACACCAGAGATGGAGGCAGAGAAGATGACATGGAGAGATGGAGCTGCTGGGGACTTGAGACCCAGAGAGGGAGAGGGGCTGTGTGCTGACGACCGGACCTGGTGGCGGGGAGCGGTGGTGGTGGGGGGATAGTGTAGGGGGTATACCCTTTG